TCTGGTCACCGCTTCTTAGTGGACACCGGGGCCGAGGTGAGCGTCTTGCCTGCGTCACTACTTGAATGTCAGCAAGTGCAACATACTGCGCCCCTACGAGCTGTCAACAGCTCGGCAATTGCCACTTTTGGCCAGAGATCCCTAACCATCGACATAGGACTAAGGCGACTTTTCCGGTGGGTCTTCATTGTCGCGGATCTCCGTCAAGCCATACTGGGAGCGGACTTCCTGGCAAACTTTGGCCTTGCCGTCAACATCCGTGGCAGAAGCCTCACTGATGCCACCACATCCTTGACCATCCAGGGTATCCTGTCGTCATTCAACGCTTCCCCGATGCGTCCCCTGGCGACGACGTCGAGGTATGAAGCCCTCCTCACAGATTACCCGGCCATAACCCGGCCCTGCAATGCGGAGGTACCAACCAAGCACGGTGTGACTCATCACATCATCACCAGTGGCCCGCCCATCTCCGCGCGTCCTCGCCGCCTATTTGGCGAGCGACTAAACATCGCGCGTCGAGAGTTCGAACATATGCTGGAGCTCGGATTCGTCCGCCCGTCTTCCAGCAACTGGGCGTCGCCACTACATATGGTCCCGAAAAAGGACCCGAATGACTGGAGACCATGCGGAGATTATCGAGCTTTGAATGCACGCACGGTACCTGATCGGTACCCTTTGCCGAACATTCACGATTTCTCCGCTGGGCTTGCTGGTACCAACATCTACAGCAAGGTAGACCTGATAAAGGCCTACCACCAGATTCCCGTAGAGCCAGCGGACGTGGCCAAGACTGCCATCACTACTCCGTTCGGACTTTTCGAATACGTAAGAATGCCCTTTGGCCTGCGAAACTCCGCTCAGACGTTCCAACGCCTTATCAACGAAGTGACAAGAGGACTTCACTTCATTTTCGCGTACGTTGACGATATCCTCGTGGCCAGCACCTCTCCGGAAGAACACGAGCAACACCTGCGACTGTTGTTCGACCGGCTGCAGGAGTATGGTCTCGTCATCAACGCGAAGAAGTGCGTTTTCGGCGTTGATGCGCTGGACTTTCTGGGCCACCGCGTTACGTCAAGGGGCATCTTACCACTCGCAGACAAAGTCCGGGCAATCCGCGAGTTTCCCCAACCCACGTCACTTCGCAAGCTTCGCGAGTTTCTGGGCTTGATCAATTTCCATCGAAGATTCATTCCGCATTGTGCTGAAATGATTCAGCCCATGACGGATCTTCTTAGAACCAAGAAAGGGCCATCATCAGCAGTTCCATGGAACGCAGAAGCTGCGTCTGCTCTTTCCAACGTTAAAGAAGCCTTGGCCAATGCAGCCCTGCTTTTCTATCCGCAACCTGGAGCCCCCACCCGTCTCATGACTGACGCCTCCAGCACTGCTGCCGGTGCTGTCCTGCAACAGATGCTTCACGGCGAGTGGCGAACACTTGTATTTTTTTCCCAGAAACTGAAGCCCGCCGAAACACGTTACAGCACGTTCGGACGTGAACTTCTTGCGGTGTACCTGGCTGTCAAACATTTCAGGTATATCCTTGAGGGTTACGAGTTTCACATCCTGACGGACCATAAGCCTCTAACGTATGCTTTCCATGGCAACCACACCGCCTACTGTTCCCGAGAGATACGACAACTTGCTTTCATTTCCGAGTTCACGCGGTTGACCTCCGCCACGTAAAAGGCAAAGACAACTCAGCGGCGGACGCGCTCTCCCGTGTCGATGCTGTCTCGGCAAGTCGTGGAGCTGTCGATTTTGAGAGCATTGCTGCCGCACAACGAGATGATCCGGAGTTGCTTGCCCATCCTGACATGCTGAAGTCCTTGGTACTCAGGGAAGTTCCTCTCCCTCATTCTAAAGGCCCGTTCACACTCTTGCGACTGCTTGCGACCTCTTACTTTTTAAACCAGAGAACACACTGGCGCATCTATTGGGAAGCAGTGTAAACTCGGCGGTCCGGCATATTTTTTTTTTTTATTTCTCGCGCAATATCCTTTCTTTTTTGGCTCGAAAAACTTTTGTCAATGTTATAAACGAGCCTTTCTATGGGTATTACGCACATTTGACCTCGGAAATCCCGCAAAACCTTCGCTTTTGTGAAATGCAGTTCTAGGGTCACCGCATAGATGGCGCCACAATGTCAGTGTGTTCCCTCATTCTAGAAACATTTAAGAAGTTGTAAGAGATCTCGTCTCTCTCAGTCGTACTCGGTCGCAAGAGTGTGAACGGGCCTTTACGGTAACATCCTCTGCGACATGTCTACCAGCAGTCCTCGACCTCTTGTTCCGCTAGCTCTTCGTCGGAAGGTTTTCGACCACCTCCACAACATCAGTCACCCAGGCATCCGAGCGGGCAGTCGGAGCCCGAGCACCAATCGATTCGGTCGTGTTCTTTTCCCCATAGTGAGCTCAAAGATACAATCGTGGGGCGTGGGCGCAGGCTAGGGTGACCACCTTCCTGCTAGCAAAATGCGGGACACGAGGGGTGGGGGTGGGTAGAGGAAATTTATTAACACACACAGCACAAACCGAGGCTTTTTTAATACATTTAACATCATGTGCTGTTTATACACCTGCTAATTTTTACTAAAGGTAATATATATCTTATGTCAAATGTGTTAGTAAATGTTTCGAAGTTGAAAACATAAAAATCGACTGTAGCAGAACTCAATGCATCAGATAAAAATAAGAAACATTAAATCTCTTTCGGGTTATTGTTTCCTGTCAACGCTTACTTTCATCAACATAGTCATACAGAAAGTTTTAACATTATGTTCTTTTTCGACCGTTGAGAGTTGCAGGCTTTTTGCCTTGTGTGGCTGTGTTCCCAAAAACAAAGATCCACAGGAACCCTTTTGCATTGACAGAGCGCTTTGAAAATAATTATAATATTTTATATTGAAACTTTTGGCAAGCAACCTTTCTTAAGGCCCGTTCACACGATGCATTTTTCTCGCGCATCTAGTGTCGCGAAACGTAGTTTCGCGAAATGGTTGCGCCGTCCGAACGAGTCCGAAAAGGACGCGCGCATCTAAAAAAGGTTGCGCGCATACCTCGCTTCTGGAGCGAGCTTTTGCTGAAACTTTGCCGAGACCTGTCAATCACTCTGAGGGCGCCGCCAATGGCCGCTCAGAAACGCTCTCACGTGGCCTTTGAGGGGGGAGCGAGCTGTTAGAGAAGACCACTTCACGGCCGGTGTTGTAGCCGAGCCAAATTCGAAAAAAAAACGAAACCACGAACGATGGATACTGCCGGCGCTTCCGCAAGCACGTCAAGCACCACTGAAGGAAAAGTGAGTAGCATATCGGAAAAAAATCCAGAGATGGACGAAGACGTAATCGGTGATGATGATAATTCGAGTCTATTTTTAGTCATAATTAAGAAATAAAACCTTGAGACAAGGAAACAAAAAGGGACGTACACAGTACCGTCTCAAACCAGCACAGCGTACAGCTCTCATTTACTTCCACAAGTTTTCTTCTTTGTCAACCTCCATCCAAATTATACATATTCAACAGTAAATAAAGTAAATGGCAGTAAATGACAATTCAACAACTGGTAAATGACAATTTAAGAATAAATTAAGTAAATTGAAGTAAATGACACGACGCTGAATGGCTGATTGTGATGATGATGATGTTGGCTTTCAACTGAAGCGCCACTTTATGGTCAACACCCAAACTATTTTCGCGAGTCAAAACGTCATCGTTGTTGCACGTGAAGCGGTACGTGTGAACGAGCACATTTCGCGAAACTTGAGTGTCGCGAAACTGTTGCACGCCTAAAAGATGCATCGTGTGAACAGACCTTTAGAATATTTTGCCTCCAAGGGGAGAGGCACAACGGAGCATGCGCGTCGGTTCTCCTTCAAGAACAACGGTCGCTTCCCGCAATGCTTGGATAGAAAATGGTGTACCATTGCGATTCACACGATTACCAGCGGCCTCCGGGCTTCCCCGTGCCCCATTGTTCGGCGGCGCCATAAGTGGCAGAGTGAATTTTACTACGGTATGAAATGCGGTACATTTTGAAGATTTGGGAATTTCTTGCGGGACGCGGGACACAAGCCCTCAATGCGGGACAGTCCCGCGAGTCGCGGGACGGGTGGTCACTCTAACGCAGGCACAATATCCGGCATGTCGGTAACCAAGAAACGTGTCCCGGTCTTCCTTCTATATCGCTCGAGAATGCTAAGAATATTGTGCATTCGTGATAAGTCGGACAATCGAAAACGCAAGCAGCGCATTCGGTCACGGCGTGATAGCACAAATTGAAGCTCCTCAATCGAAACCGAAACTGAGTAGCCAACTAGCTCCCAGAGTGCACTGCGTAGCATTTCGCCGCGATGGGGCGCTTCAAGTTTTGGAAGAAGTCTGTTGACGGCACGCCCTCTCCGCCAGCAAAATAGCTGTTTTGGTAACGAAGCGAGACTGTCCATGTCGGCCCGGCCATTGGTCATGCCCTACGGTTTGAACAGCGCATTACGGCAAAACCGCCGCAGAGAAGACTAGAACATGCGCTGTTCGTACCAAACTCCCTAGATGTTTTGGCCCAGCTACAGTAATTCAAATATTTTCATCCTTTCCGGTTTCGGTTTCTGTTTGAGCGGGGGTGGTGCACTTCCTTCTCCTTTTCATAGTAAATCGTCAGTTGCGAGTCAGCGCTTGCCTGTTCTGTCTTCCTTTTCTGTCCCTCTCCTTGTGCGCTGTTTAATTATGTACACTGGTACGAGTAAATGGTACTTACTCTGACTGTGCTTCAGAGACCAGCTCGACTACAGTGTAGTACAGTACGTGTCTGTAGTACAGCACACTTCTCCTGCTGTAACGGACGGAGGTGCGCTCAGTGGCAATCTCAAGCCCACATAAATATGAGTAGAAGTGTCGGCATTCACCGCTAGGTGTGGCAAAACACCGCCCAATAAAATATTACGTTATCAATCCACGCCAAGCACGCATCGAGCCAATATCGAGCCAATAGAAAATCCACGTGGTCGTCAGCAAAACAAGACGCGAGCCCGCGGGTCGCAGGTCGTCACGGGCCGCATGGACTTGTTTGAAGCGGCGGCGGTTATTCCGTGCGTGTTCCTTCGTGTGGTGCACTGCTTTGGTGGCTCACTGGTGAATGTTCTGCAGCCTGCAGCAGTCGTCAGAAACGGTGACGGTTGCCGCGCTGTTGATGGTATGTCTTGGCTCGCGGCCTTCTTTGTTTTTCGTTTTGGGAAATTGTCTCGGACACTTTCGACTGCGGTTTGACCACCTACATTTTGCATTCCGTGCACACTGCCCTGTATTTAGAGCGGGAGCTCTTATTCTCTGTTCAGCATCATGTGGGTGAGAATAAGATTTCGTGGAGACAAAAGAACCTCGTCCGATCGGGAGTTGAAACGCGCATGACAACCTGACAGTACCGTTCATCAGACGGGTCCATATCGCAAGAGCGAATGACATTTTAGCGAACGGCGACATTTGAGCGAATGGTCGTTTTAGCGAATAACGGGGGCGCGCGTTAACCCATCCGTCGCGCTGCGCTTTACGCCGCTTCGCGGCGACAGTCTGCGGCAACTCGTTACAAAAATATGAACTCATTTGGCCCACCCGAAAACGCCGCTTCGCGGCGTCCGACTATTCGCTAAAGTGTCGTTCGATGAAACGTGGGCGTTCGCTAAAACGTCATTCGATCAAGTGAGTGCCTCCCTCATCAGACAAAGCGTCCTCTCCTGCCTGTGGCCAGAGCTAATCTCGGAAGGTTTTCCGTCCCAACAACCAACATACTAGGGTTGACCTCGTGTGCACTAAGCCCCTGAACTTGTAGCGCTCGCTTTCAGTTGTGCACCACGTTGGATAGACGAGAGCAACCCATTTGATTGTGTTTCTAATGTTTCTGCAAAGACTTTCTTGCTGACAAGTTTATTTCACTGAAATAGCTGCTACAGGCACCCACATTGTAATTTCTTGTTCTGACAAAATTAGGCTTACGTGGACGTCGGCTCATAGAGAAATTTGTTTTTCTTAATTGACCTTTTTCAGAGAACTCCGAGAGAGAGGAGGAAAGGGAAAGGCGCCATTTTTGGTGGCGCCTTTGAGTCGTTCAGGCAGTCCTGGTTCCGCTTCACTTTCTACGCTATAGACCGACACGCTGTTTACAAACAAGCCCGCGTTTGCCCACACCAGGTGTGGGCACTGCGCGTGCGCAGAAACCGAATTCGCGTCAGGGGAATCTACTACGCATGCGCTGTGGCGACAACAGCGCCACCGCAGAGGCTTGACGTCAGAGCCGCGTGTTGGCCTATACATGCCTTGCAAGTGACGTCACCCTAGGGAACATCTAGGGAAGGACGGGGCCCCGCACCATACTGGTGGTTGACTTCACACCGCACGGATGCGCTTACCAAGGCGTAGGATGCTGCTAACGGCCCGGACATGCGTTAACATGCACCATATTTTCAACAAAGGTACCGTGAATTTAGAAAAACGTGTTGAGCTTACGATGATGACGTTTATCCAGCACGTGCGGAATTCTTCGGCATTGGGTGCAATTGCGCTTCGAGCAGAAAGTTTCGAAATGCCGCCGGCGAAGTTTTGACGCAAAGGGATATGCCGTTTCGTCGTTTACCCTGAGACTGGGGGGTTTTTTGAAGAACAGAAGTATGAGACCTGTCTGTTTTTTCTGATACTTCTGCTCTTCAAAAAAAGAACCCAGTCTCAGGGTAAACGACGAAATGGTTGACTTCCACCAGCTAGCCTGTACTTTGACTCTTTTCTGGATATGCCGTGTCGCCAAAAAACGAAAAAAGCTTAATTGCGCGCTTCATAATTTGACGAGCGGCTCTAGGAGTCGCTTGTAGAAAAATTGTTACGATTTTGCCAAATACTGGTAAACAACGCCATGTTACCGTCATAATCTTAACCCTGAGACAGGGATAAATCAAATAACGGTCAAGAAACTCTCATTGTCTCAGGGTTTATATTATTATGTTTCCTAACCGGCTCGCCTGCATACTTTCGCTCCTTGCAAAGGTTATCGTATCGCGGACGGCACAAACCGATGACCCGGCGGCTCGGCTCGGCGGGCCAGGCTCGCGGCTCAATTCTCGCCCGGATTCGGCCGGGAGCCCTGAAGTTGCGCTCGAAGCGTGAAAACGGCGTTATGCAACGAAGGTCAAAGGCTATATACACCACGAACGAGCAAAAGCCGATGCAAAGGCGTGCGCGAACGTAAACAACGGTAGAAAAGTGTCGCTGTTTGCCGCTATGAAGCGCGTCCCGCAAACTCGATAATCCGCGGCCGCATCTTTTTCCTGCCGCTCGTAGTTTCTCTAACTTGACGTCTACTCTGCCTCGTGGGGCATGCCGACGAAACGATCGGACGATCGTCGGGATACGGGTTAATTGCTACAGCTGAGCGCGGCGCAGTTTACCATTGCTCTCGCTGCGAAGGGCCGTCGAGTCAACCACCAGCATGGTAGATACCGGTGTTCGACGTCATGATATGACGTAGGTGCAAGGCATGTATTCTCGCGGCTTGGCTTCATAGTCGTCATGCCTCACCACTGCACAGCTGTTCAGTGGCACAAATAGCAGCAACAGTGGTTGAAATGTAACATTTTTTTAGAGGTCCAGCAGCCTTTTGCGGGTGGTGCACGAAAGCACCCGACGTCAAATACCGTGCCCTTTCTGTCTCTTTGTCTTTCAAAAGACAAAGCCTTTCGAAAGCCTTTTTTCAAGAAGCCTATGACGCGAATCCTCCGTGTCAGGTGGCCAGGTCCTCAACGTGACGGCGGGACATTCTGCTTTTAGTTAAAATACAGTAAGTGTTCACGATAGGTTGTACAACGTAATTATAATGTACCCGATACTCGAGTGAATAAATGAATAAAGCTTTCCGTTCTTTCAAGCATGCGCTATACACATTCGCGTCATGCCAAGTTAAAATTGAAAAAAAAAAAAAAAGAAATCGGTTATTGGCGAAACATTTAAAGCGTGCGAAATGGATTCAAGCCCCAAGGAGACCGAACCCTGACGGAACGCCTTGGAAACCAACAGTGAGCTCCGCTGTTTGCAGGGCCCACTTTGTTGGAGGTTTGTAAACATGCTGAATTCAAAGCGAGATTGTTTTTACCATACCGTTCCTTACATTTTGACGGTGCAGGTGAGCATTCGTGATATCAAGACCGCCTGGATTTCACACTGTGCGAGTTTATTTACACGATCCCGGGTACGGCGATGCCCCGTGCGCTCGCGCGCGCGCTACAAAGGACAGCGAAGTGACGGACGCAGTAAGCTTGCATAACCTAATTAAGCGATCTAGCAGAGCAAAATCAGCTGTTTATAGTGGCCGGGCCTCATAAACGGAGCTCTCAAGATCCTCACAAGGTGGATAATTGAGTCGGCATCGAAACTCGTCATCATCACTTTCTTTACAAAAACACTCTGCTTTGAAGGCCGACCCCTACTTCAGTTGCTTGCACGACGCCACACCGAAGTGACGATTAAGTGACTCCGAGTCGACAGTAGGAACCGATGCGGTGTCGGCGGTCTATCCATCTTTGAAGGTAGAAAAAACGAACAAGGTCGTCTGTATTGTAGACAGTAGCTTTCGTTAATCCTCGAGGGTCGTCCTCTGCCATTTCGAAGTAAAGATGCACGCAAAGCGACGACTGGCCTGGCGCTGGCGCGGACCACGGAGCGACGGTACCGGAGCCTTCAATACTGCTTCGAGCGATTCCTGCGAAGGCGTGCCACGATCGTGACCAAACTCTGAAAAAGGTCAATTATCTTTTGATCCAAAAAACGTCATGTCCTCAAACTTCACCATCCTTTCCCAACCAGTAGCATCACATTCTCTCGGAGTTTTGAGTTTTTTGCGATGCATAGAATTTTTATTCGTGCCGGAAAACATGGTCTTCTTTTCTTGGGAACGCATTGTATTTATTTACCCCTAGGATGACCTTTGGCCATGTACTTCTCACGCAATCTGTTCTAGCTGAGCTTCGGAGATTGCTAGTTCTTGCTTCAGGAATTGTGCCTCAATTTAGCAGGATCTGGACATCTTTCTTTATAAATGAACTTAGACAGTGCTGATTTGCACATGTGCATTCTGAAATGTGCCTAGATGTGGGTCGTGGCCATTTTTGGATCTGTGCAGCTGATGTCACTTTGCCTCCTACATTTCTTGCTCATTTATTTGCAGCTTCAGCTTCATCACAGTTTCATCTGACTCCTTTGAGACCTTCAAGCTTCGCTTCACTGTCCTGACTCCGACGCATGTGCGACACGTCAGTAGTGAGTACGACGCTCCAAGTTTTCAGCCCCGTCTTGGGGTGGCAGACACTATTGGGTTCACGCTGATGTGAGGAGACAAGACATATAAGGGTATAACAAGGTTGCTAACATGATATTGTTGCTGATGCTGCTTGTTCACCACACACCCAGTATTTCTGGAGGGAGTTGTTTTGGACGATCGATAGGCCCGTTCGGCTGGGTCAGGGTACAGCAATCACAGTGATGTGATTGCTGTGTCAATTGCGCCAAACTTCGCCGAGTGGCTAAGCCTACTACATCCTGCTACATTTTGCCAAAATATGGGTAATCTGCGCCAAGCCTGCGCCAAAAAGCCAATTTTGGTCGCCTTTCAAAATCGAAACTAAACTGAGTACCGTAATTGAGCATGCGTGTGTTATGTGGCGCAAGCAGCTGCCCGACAGGAAGTACCCTGCATCAATCGTCCATCCGGTCTTGCATGGTTTTCCCGCCGTCTCGCGTTTCACACTCGTCATCTCGTGGGTCACGTATCGCGTCTTTTTCAAAAATATTTTCAACCATAGACGCGGGTGTGTGTGGACGCTCCAACGCAAGCATGCCTGTACCAGCCATGCCGTCATGCTGTGAAATGAAACCAGGTTTTTGCGTGGCGGCAGTTATTTTATGAGCTCAGGCACTCGCTCCTGAAAGCAATGGCTGTGGGAAAACTATATTTGTTCCCTGTCTTCCAGTCACCGTAGTCGCGCAACGTCGGGTGTTGCCGTCGCCATGTCGCTGCAGATATGGCGCTTTCTAGAATGAAACTAAGTACCGCCGCATGTTCACCAACATTCCTGTTGTTGTTTAAATCATACCTTATTACAAAAATTCCTCTTTAGCTCAAAGACTGCTGTGTTGAAGTATTGATTTCCTAAGTTTCTCTCGGTGGGCTTTCTTTCGAAAAGGACCTCGGTACATGAAAAATTTGCTGCGAAAGAAAGTTGGTGTAGAGAAAGAAGTGAGCTAAAGCAAAGAAGGCAATGTCTGCACGCTGAACCCGCCCAGCGCGCTCGTTTGTCTCGAGTTCAGTCGTTGCACAATGCGCTCCAAGAACTTTTTGACCCTGGCTCGTGATGTCTTGCGTCAGTGCGCTCAGGTTCTTTTTTTTTTTTATGTATGTTTAGCTTTTACTTTGTTTGCCGGCCTGGCAAACACGCCGCTGGACGTTTTTTTTTTTTCTTTTTTGTCGTATGCTCACAGTTACATTTTGCATCCAATTTTGGGAATCATTTGGCGACGGAGCAGATTGGCATGGTTTCGATTTCAATCAAACGGCCGTTGTCTCCGCTCGCGCAACGAAGCACACGCAACTGCAACCCTGCCGAAGTTGCCCTCATGTGCATGCGAACATGATTGCACGACAGAGGAACCAGCCGAGGCGCGTGCAATCCATTGTTTTACGTTTGCTTACTTTTGACGAAAATCTGCCACGTCGGTGACCAGTAAAACGGTGGCAAGTGGTTTTTCGGAATTGCTCGGCAACGCCTACAGCACTGTACACTTTTGGATGTCTCAGGAGTAAAAACACAAGCAGCGAGTTCTGTCACAACACGTCACATCAGAACTCAACACAAAGTGCCCTTTGTTTGTACAGCATTTAAGACTAATACTTTTATTTTTCTAAAAATATCTGCTCCAAAAGCCACTTTTGCTGCTCCAAAACACTTCTTGGCTGCTCCAAGAGCCAGTTTTGCTGCTCCAAAACACTGTTTTGGCTGCTCCGAAAGGTGCTCCAAAATGGCTTAGGCCGATCACATCACTGGGAACACTGGAGCGATATTAGCGCCGCTGCGCCGCGGCTGAAGGTGGCCCTTATACGGCATTGTCTTGTCTTGTCGTGCTGGCAGTTGCAGTGGCAAGCAGCACGTTGCAATGGTATTGCAGCTCCTGTCCTGTTCAAAGATAATTTTTATGTAGGCAAAACTTCACAAAGAAAGGTTGCTTGTGTGCCAGCAATGAGCTAATTTAGGGAGAATATTTGACTGCAAAGTGCATCTTGCAAGGGCAAGACAGCGTCGGCTATGACATTCGCTTCAAGATAAATGCTGTTTTTTACCCCGACAGACCTCGGAGGTTCTTCATATGAACCGCCTGGACATTTATCACCCGTCCCTGCCTATTGCTTCTCTCCATCACTAATTTCCCAACTGTAATTTCTTTTTCTCCAACGCCCCGCAGGGGAGGGGGGGATCATTGTGATTGGTTTTTTGTCGTTGTCACACATTATCATCATTCTCTCTGATGGCTCGTGTGGCCCGATTAGGAATGATCGAGTCTCTCTTCCTCACAATGCCTGAAACCTCCGCACAGGAAAAGAGTTTCACTAATTAAAGGGCACTTCCTCTTCATCTTTCATGTTGGGAAAAGTGCGTAGAGGACCACGTGACCTTTCGGACCACGTTTTTCGATGTGACTTGGACATGACTGACGACGCAAGACCAATGTTGTTTGTTGCAACCAAAGTATCGGTTTCGGTATCTGCTGATGTTTAAACTAAGATTACACAAATAATATTCCACATTTCGTGAATCCGAAGATATAAGGTTGTTTAGTAGTGCTTTGGGAAATGTAATGACATGTAAGCCTAAAATTTGGGGAATTGAACGGTGGTGCCCTTTAATTCTCTCCCTCCGTGAGAAGTATGGTGCACTCAGAGTCTCTCATATAAATTTTCAGTTATTCACCTTGGTGAATCAGGTAGTCTCTAAATAGTTGTCAATGCATGCAAGTCGGTGTGCAGTATCAGCTATGATTCTCTGCCTAATTTTACCGCTGCTTTTCCCGCTTAGACGCCGCCTTTTGTAAGCATTCGGGAACAATGTTGGTGGGTAGGCTAAGTGTGCTTGGTTCTCGTTTTAATAGGGTTACTGAATATTCCAGTTTCTTTTGTTGGCAACCTCAAGGAACCATTGAATCTGCGAACATGGCAATTAAGTGTTTTTGCAATACCGATTTATGCGAAAAGACGAGGAGTCAAAAATTCACCCTATTCTCCGCACAGCCAATTTATGCTTCTCGGCATACTTGCTGAAATTATCTCTTATGAAACTATTCAAACTTCATGGCAGACGCTTTCTTTCGTGTTTAAGACACTCATGGCAGTTGACCAGTCATGGGTAAGTTACTTTTAAAAAGTAATTCGTTACAGTTAGTTTCAGAAAAAAGTAGCGAAGTTACCATTACAGTTACCACAACAAAAGAATAACTCATTACAGTTACAGTTACTTTCAAAAAGTAATGACATTAGTTTTCAGTTACTTTTCTATAACACAAAAATTAAGGAAAAACTAGTGTTTGAGAGAAAAAAAATATAGACACGAATCAGTTGGGCTTCCACCATAGCGGTAAATTCAAACTTAATAATTGATCTGGAAAATTAGTCAATATTATGAAAAGAATAAAGACAAAAATTCAACTGGATGTGTTTTCTCAGATTTGAACACGAAGACTTGTTGCCGGAGTACTCCTTGTTGCAAAGTTTGCCTACTGCGGACAAATAGTTAGCAACCGCCTTCATCACAGAAAAATACTCTGTACGCCGGCCATGCTAGTTCTTTGTTCTCATCAACATCCCTATCCTTAGTAGCACTAGCACATTGCTGGCTCGTAGACGGTTGCGCTGGGATCATGGACTCCTTTGATATATTTCAGTTCGTACCTGGCAAACCGGAAACAAGCCCTGCGCAAACAGCAGTAAATTTTGCCTCAACCGTTGAAACCACGCCGGAGTAGTGGCATTAATCAAAATACGAAACATACGAAGTTCCCTCTGCGTGTATTGTTGTTTCACGGTTGATTCACCCGATTAAAAAACGTGCGCATAAAAAAGAAAAACCGCAACAGAGATAGTACTTCAATATACTAAGATGTAAGTGTTCAGTCACAGTACAAGCAAGTGCGTAAAGATAACTACATTATTTTTTTTTATTAAACCTTCACGTGGCTATATTCAGATAGTGACTCGCGAGAAAGAACGTATTCTCAAGTTTGTGCAAGGCCAGCTGACACTCGAAATGTCGGAACAGACAATTTGAAAAGTGCAAGGAATAGCTAAATTATACTCGTTCAATGATATATTATTCAAAAAGAACTGAAAAGTAACGACAAAAGTAACGTCGTTACTTTCATCGTAACCTCAGAAAAAGTAATAGAGCTACAGTTACAAGTTACATTCTTAAAAAGTAACTTGTTACAGTTACAAGTTACCGAAAAAGTAACGAAGTTCAGTAATGCGTTACTACCCAAGACTGCGGTTGACTATGCAACAATACTTGGTACCTTCTCTTTTGGCCTTCGGCACTCCATTTTCGAAAGCAAGAGGCTGACATGACGAGCCAGGCAGCCTCCCACCTTGTATGCTCAGTCAACTGTACGCTGAACCTATAGCCCAGGTAGTGGTTGGCACAGCGTGTGTTTTTCTATTCGCTCCAACCGCAAAATGAACGGCACCTTGCAGTAAAACGCTGAACTGAATTGAACATGTCCTTTCGCAATATCTGCTTCTCTCTTTTGGCTTTTGTCATTACATGTTGTCGGCGACTGGTGTGATGGAACAATCGTCCTGGTGACACTGTTATTGTCACATCAGCGTGTTTCCCAGGTCGCTCTGAACGCAACCTACGCTCTAAGAAAAAAAGGTAGTCATATGTGACTAGCTTTCGGGTGGTAAAAAGTTGTCCCAAATATAACGCCCCTAGGGTAAAAATGACGACCCCACACATAGTCAAAAAACAGGTAGTCAAATTTGACTACCCCTTAAAGCAACATGGCGGCCGGTTAGCGAGGCTTGAATTCCCCGGTAAAGCCTAGCGAAGAGCACGAATTTTCGGCTGAGTGAGAAAATAGGGCGCATGCGCCTATTCGGGGTCTTCCAAGCGCCATCAGACACTCTAAACATCCGTCCCCAGACACCGGTATTGTACCTATATCCTGTAAGGATGGCAGTGTGTGTGCCGGAATAGTCGCGATTGCCTCCGACCGCA